ATGAATTAATTATTTTAGTCAAGAACCGTGTTGAAAAACCCATGGACCAATGTCCATGTCTAAAAAACTTATAAACAATATTAAAAAAATTTTTTATATTTTTTATTGTAATTTTATTGTTAAACTTATTGTAGTTTTTTTAGATTAAATAAAAAAAATGGAAGCCATATATACACATGTCGATAAGGCCATCTACAGGTATGGGAGGCCTATGGAAGATCAAAAAAGTGAACAAGTCAAGCCATACGAGGCTTTGTTCTTAGATGGAAACTCTGTCTTCAATCTGCACAATTTAGACATTATAGACGAGAAGAAAGAGGATTTTATAATGGAAAATGAGATGGATAATATGGACGACAGTAATGATGAAACCGAAGATGATGATAGTTATGATGATAATGATGACAATGATGATGATAGTGATGATAATGATGATGATGATGAAGATAATGAAGATGATGAACCTATGGAAATAGACAATATAGATTTTTTTAATTCTAAACTATATTTAAATTAATTTATAATTATTTTTATTTTTATTTTGCTTTTTAATAATAAATAATTTTTTATAATGCTTTTTTTTATATGTTGACTATAAATTAAATGACCATAATTTTCGCATAACTTTACATAATATTACCCATAAAAATTTATTTTTAAATAATTTTTAAAAAACATTTATATTATTTTAATACTTTTTTTTAGCAACTAATTAAAAAAATGGCTGAAGCTATGAACGTAGAATATTGATATTATTGCAAATTGCCTATGAATATTGATCAACTACGTGATCATCAACAAAAATGTTATAGATCGCAAAACTATGACTGCTTTAGTTGTGGGGAAAAAATTAACTTGTCAGAAACTTGGGAACACGAATGCGAACTTTATCAAGAAGATCACGTACAAAAAATTCGCACCAAACTATGTGTGTATTGTGGAACTCAAATTCAAAAAATTGATTTTGATCATCACGTTATCAACTGTTTGCATCGTTTTGAAAACGAATGGAAGGAAATTATGGAAAGACAAAAAAATGTCGTTATGGATCAAAAACAAAGTTCAGCTTTTTTAAACATGACTACCAATAACATTCTAATCAGTTTAGAAAATAGAAAACACTCAATTGGTTGCTATGACTAAACGAATGGACAACATGGACTTGGAAATGAAAAAATTTGTTGATAAAAACAAAGTTGAAAAATATTAACAAGAAAAAATCTTTCTTTACAAGAAAAAATCAATCTTTACAAAACTATATGAAAGATGCAGACTATAAAAAACTTAAAGAGCTTGTTAACAAATTTTATAAACAATCCATGACTGATAAATTGATTATAGATATGGACCAAATGGATTTGAGATTGCAAACTAACGAACCTTATCATACTCAACCTTCTTATTCGGCAGACAGTTATTTGTACCGATTAAAAATTTATGGTTACTGTAATAAAGAAGATAAATTGGCTATTTATTTTCAACTGATGCAGTCTCCAATGGACCATTCTTTAAAGTGGCCGTTTATGAAGACTGTAACAAGTACAATTAAAAACGATAATTGTTATATTGAAAACACAAAAGTGATAGCCGATTATAGCTAACCGAATAAAGAATGTTTTGAAAAACCTACTCAAGCATATAACCGAGCTGTAGGAACAAAAAGTTTTGCAACACATGAACAACTTAAAAAACATTATATAAAAAACAATAAACTTATCATACACGTTGCTTTTATATATAATTTTTTATGTATTTTTTTATATTGTTTTCAATATAATTTTGTATTTAATATGTATTTTTTTTAGACTCTTATTAAAATGAACAGTACAATCATGAGAGAATTGGCAGACTATATTACTACGTCATATATGAAAAAATTAAAAATGCTTTTAGAAATTCCTTATGGTGTATGAGAAAAAATGAAAGACGGATTAGATTTTAAGGAGTACATCCAGTACAAGAATTTGTGTATCAACACTTTAAATATAAAACTATCGAAGCAAAAATAAAACTTGTTTTAAATTTATTAAAAGAAATTGGTATATGGGATATTTATAAAAGGTTTATAATTAAATTAGAAGAAGAACAAGAATTTGTCTATCAACATTTTGAATATAAAACTATCAAAACAAAAATAAAACTTGTTTTAAGTTTATTAAAAGAAATTGGTATATGGGATATTTATAAAAGGTTTCTAATTAAATTAGGAGAACCTCCATCGTACGAAGAGAGTCATTTAAATGATCTATCAAGACTCGGTTTAAATCCTCCTTCGTATACAGAATGTAATCCTCCAGCGTATGGAGAAAATCAAGATATCCGTATACAGATCCGTTTTTAAAACAGTTTGCAGAATATGCAGAATGTAATCCTCCAACGTATTATTCGCCTGAAGTTGTTAATTTAAAACAACAAAAACTTTTTAATCATTGTAATAAAAAATAATTTTTTATTTCATTTTGTATATTTGTTTTATAATAAAATATATATATTTTCTTTTAATTTGTATATTTGTTTTTAGCATGCTTAGTAAAGAAAAATTAATAAAAATACTTAGTGAAGAAGAAAATTTGTTTTTGATTTGTTTTTGTAAAACAAATCATTGATTTGTTTTACAAAAACAAATCAATGATTTAATGTGTCAATTTTTTCATGTAAACGAAAATTTATTATAGCTGTATTATATTTATCAATTATATGTTGACGGTTGTTTTAATAACATTATTAAGAAATCTAGAAAAAAAACATTATTTAAATGTTCAATATTTAATTATACAGTATGTGTTACAATTTTTTGAACAAACTTATACTATGCTTCGTTATAAAACTAAACAATACAAATTAATTATGACATCTATTTTTAATATTTTTTAGAATGTATAGATTGGTTAATTGAACAATGTAAATTTGTTTATGATCCTCATTTTAAACCTTGTTATGTTTATAAATAGGATTTTATTTAGAATGTGAAGAAAAAATTTAATTAGACATTCTAGAATACATCATGATTTTAAGAAATTTTATTCAATAAAAGAAGACAATTTTAAAGATTTTTGGATTATGTGTTATGAATTAAGTTTAAAAAGCCGTAATGATACATGGACTTTAATAGCTTTGTGTAAAAGAAAGTTGGCTTCTGAAAAACTGTTACAAATAGTTATACCAAATTTACGTAAACAAATTAACAATTTAATGTATTCGTTTTTACAAAATAATCAAAAAATTTTATCACAATATTCTATTTACAATTCACTCGAAGACGATTGTTTTGATTTAATTGATAGACGTACATTAATTTGATCATTTTATATAGATATTCAAATATCGATTGTTGATTATATATAAGCTCTTTTGTAAATACTTATTTTTTAAATTGTTTTTCTGCTACTAAACAACACAAATTAGTCATGAAATCTTTTTTTAATATTTATATGGAATGTATAGATTGGTTATTTAAACAACAAGAATATGTTACGAATCCTTATTTTAAACCTAATGATATGTATGATTTTATTTAACTTTTTTTTAGAAATAATTAAAAAAATGCAATTAATCACTGTTGACGGTGCAGAACCTTTATTATTTAACAGAAAAGAAAGCAATATTTTAACATTTTTTTTAAATGTAGAAAATGGAGTGTTAAAAAGTAAATCAATATGGGGAGCATTTAACGAACTTCAAATGATGGTCGAAGAAGAAATTTTAAAACAAACAAAAAATTTAAAAAACATTGAAAAAACGAAAGAAATTAAACAAGACTTTTATAATTTTGTAAATCAAGTATTATCATAATAAATTTTTTTTTTAGACTCATAACAAAAAAAAAAAAAAAAAAAAGAAAATTGTAAAAAATAATCAAACAAGATATGTCAGTTAACCCTCAAGAAGCTAGAATTCTTATAAAGATAGCAGAAGACCGATACGGGACCGATGCTAATACTTTACTGTTGTATTAGCAGAATTTCATCGTATTGGTGTTTTTGTAGACGAAGAAATTCAAAGACGCACAGAAATAAAGAACTATTTAAACAAATCAATAACAATTTTGAAAACTTTGTTAAAAGTTTATTTTAATAAAATTATAAAAAAAAAATTCTTTTTTAGATTCATAATGAAATTAAAAAATTATAATTTATACGATACCGATACTCATATCAGCTTTAACCGCGAAGTATATAAAATTTTTATGGAATTGACTATAAATCGATATGGAAACAATAATTTTAAAGTTTTAAAAGAATTTCATCGCATCGCTGTATTGATTGACTACGAAATACGTAAAAAAACATTCAATTTTATAGACGAAAAACTTTTTTATTTAATTCATAATAACTTTAAAAATTTTGTTAAAATTTTAGTATGAGAAAAAACAAAATTTAACATTAATAAATTTTTTCATTCAATATATTGTCTCTTTCTTTTTTTATAATATGATAACATTCCAATACATATTTTTGAAAATATAATCCTTAAACTAATTCTTTACAATATTAACACAATTGTTGCACTATCAATTTTAAACTATTTACATAGTTTATTTTTTTATACAATATTTCTATACACGTAAAATAATAATAAAATGTATTTAACACATTAAGACAATGTTCAATAACTTCACTATAGTTACGACACGTTAACACGTGTCGGAATAAGATACGCGAATCGGAAGACATTCAAATAACATATCAAGAAACATTAGGCATATGCATATAAGGTACGGTCTCCTTAGCTAACCCTTGACACACCCCCGCCTCCGCCCACTATGAGATCTTATAGCGGGCGGGGTGGGGGTGTGTCAAGGGTTGGTCGGGATGGTATGGTTGGAGAAGAATTTATAAATGTTTCGTAATACTGTCACTTTAAACAATAGACTTAATACCCTATTATAAAGGGATAATCTTTTTGTTTTTTTCTCTATTATTTACCATAGAAACATCAATCAAACTTTGCAATATAAACTGCACTTAGATAACTTATTCAAATATGAGTTTAACAAGCGACGAAAACAGCGAAGTAATAAATTTCAATCAAGATAGTTTTTACGCAAACGAAGAGTATTGGAGGATAAAATGCCAAACATTAGAAGAACATATTCCAACAGAGGTAAAGAACAAGCACCTAAACGAAGAATTGACACAAACTCTCCAACAATCAAACGAAAACTCGATTATATCGAAAGCCAATTGCTCAAAGGACACAATGAACACGAGTACAGAGAGCTGCTTAACGAGTATTATACACTCACAGGAACCGAATACCCAATACGAGAGAGCGTTGAACATATTGAAAATAAGATATCTAAACAACAGGAAAAACCAAATGACAATACAGCAGGACCTAGCAAAATGCTTCGACGAGAAAGTACAATTGATGATGCCGGAACAGAACTTACAAAACCTGACATAGATGGATTTATTTTGGATTGTGAAGAAAGACAATCAGTTATTCAAGCAGAGCACGAAAACGCTATTGAAAATAAAGAAACGACAAATAAAACAAGCGGAACAAAAATTATCGAAATCTCATTGGACGAAGAATGGATCGAAGAGGAGGACATCGCCTGCTACGACAACATCACAAGAACGGATAGATGTGCTAAACTGAAATTGGATAATTCGGTAACTATTCTTGATAAAAACGATATTTTAAAATTATTTTGTATAACTTTAATTAATAAAATAATAAATAAATAATTTTAGGAACTTCTGTGTTTTAATAAAGATATAAGACGAGGGTTTGATATTTACCGCGTTATACATACAGGGAAACCAACGCACTCTATCTGGTACAATCAAAAAGAAACGAGATGCGATGCCCTCGATTTATGCACAAAAACACATAAAATATGCAAGTACTTTGATAGCAAGGAATCAGAGTATAGTGGAACCCTCCACACGCACTGTATCCTCGCTTCATACGTTCTCGAGCGAGCGGAAAGATCACCTGAAGGAGAACAACTCTGAATTAGAAGAGCCTTCTTCCGAGCCCGACAATACCTCTGCAAGGGATGTAGTGACATTAACAGAAAACGGTAAGGACACCACTGCACGACATGTAACTCGCGAATTACGGTTAAGCACGTTAATACCCCTTCTTACTACAAGAATAGTATTATCTACGTGCTTAAGCGTGATTAGCTACGTAAAAGCACATATTACATTTGACGTAGACAATATACAAGACGAAACAACAATAACACAACGACAACCACTAAAGGCACAACTAAAACAAAACTTTGCTAACTATTTATTCACCCACAACATCATGAATTCAAGACAATACGACGACGAATTATCAAAGAGTGACGAATTACGAATAATAGAATTTACAATACAACTAAAAGACTTGGAGATAATAAAAAAGACTAAATTTCGGCAAATATACCTAAAACAACGTTACGTTGACGTACTGACACCCAGAATAGTTATTTCAAATAACAAATCTCGTTTAGGTGCGCTAATGTTCTTCCTATCAAATATAGCACTACAAAATCAGATCTCCGTCAATAGGCTAAAGCAATTTTTTTTTTATTTTTTTATTTTACTTCACCTCCTCAAGGCCGAGAAGGCCACTACAGCAGAGGAGGCTACTTATTTTGTGGCTATAACCCTCTCTCAACTCTATAACTCCGAAACACGAACCTAGACGAACAAGGCCGCTGCGCGGAGAAACGAGTTGAGCGCGGTACTACCAGGGACGTGGTGGGGATCGAACTCCGAACCACTCGTTTATGAAGCGAGCGCTCTACCACTACACCACTACCGCAATTACTTTGCAATTTCATCTTCAACCTAAACCATAAGAAGAGGGGACTCATTCTTTGTGGACCATCTGATTCTGGTAAGACCTTTTTAGCTAACTTACTTTATTCCTCTTTTAAACCTCACGAAATTGGCTATTCCAACTGTCCTACTGGTCTAAACCCATCATCATTTCTACTACAGGCATTAAGTAATTGCTTAGCTTATCGATGTGATGAAATGGTTTTTGAACACCTAGGCGTGATACAGTTAATGAAGCAGCTATTGGAAGGGTCAGGGTTAGGGTTACACTTACAAGTACACTTACAACAGATGTGCAGTACAAGGACGCGATGCCTATTGATCCACATCATAATTTTATCACAATGAACTCTTCATCTAAATTCGACGTTCTCAAATGGCATCCTTCCGAATACCAAGCATTTGAAAATAGGTGTACAATACTCTTCCTTGGGACACCGCTACTTAACATATTCAATGACAAAGAACTACGGGAAATCAACACTTGTGGTGCTGAGTTATTGTATATGTTAAACATGCATAAACAGGACAAGGACCAAAACACAGAAGGGGTATTAGACAAATTTCAGGGCTACATATTTTTGAAATACATTTATTAATAATATAATATTTACAATAACTTTTGTTTCTTTTCTTGCGGTTCCTCTTCTTCCCTAAGATCAACCTTGCCAACAAACATAGTACTAAAGGCAGGATAAAATATTTTCTGATAACTATTTAAAAATGTTATTTTAGCATTGTTTTTAATAAAAGGATTAGCCATAGAAACAGTAGTGTAGGTAGCATCTTTACCAAAACGTGATTGTTTAATAGTAGGACGTTTATACAAATCATTAACAGGATCAACGCGAGTACGATCATATGTTTAATCTCTCTCAAATATTTGAATTCGATGTCTAAGACGTAAACGACCTCTAACAGTAGTAGGCATAACTTCTTTACCAATATAAACAGGATCAAAACAAAAGTATAAACGTTTACAATTTTTATTACCACTAAATGGCATAACAGTAGGCAAATTATTCCAATAGGTATTATTGACACTATCTGTATCACCTGCGCTAATATCAAAATTAGACCGATTTTTAAATAACACTGAAGAGTGATCGAACTCATCATAAGGTTGCAAATAAACATCAAAACATTGCTCAGCATTATAAGGATCTCTTGAATCAGAACAATAAGGTGTTATAGGATTATAAATAGTAAACAAATTACCAGTATTATACTGTTCATAAGCAGATATTCCCTGCCTCTGCAAAAACCACCTATCTAATTGAACAGGATAACGAATATTCTTACGCCTATCATCTCCTTCTGCAACAATAGACCTAGCAACAAGATTTTTAAGTCCATAATTTGGCATATATGACCAAACCGATAATCACAGGGATATGTATTAATAATACTCTACGTCTTATCAAAGAATCCATTAGCCTTTTGACGTTCAATAGAGGCAGTAGAATCAATAAACTGACCACCTTTATCTAATGAGGTATCTGTAAACTTGAACGTCCTAGAACCAAATGGATCATTTCCCAATAACTTAATAGGTTTACGTAATCCAATATCATTTTTCCTAACAATACTATGAATAACCTTTTCAGCTACATTATTCTTTTCAAAGAATCGAGGATCTTTAGTACTAACAAGATTAGCAAATCGAGTAGTTACAGGTTTACCTGTTTTATCATGAAAAAACAAGGAATTTTCCAACAATTTGACAGTAGATAAAAGAGCAGGTTTCTTATCAGCAGAACTAAGTCTCAATTCTAAGAGTTTCGCGTAATCATCTGAATCAGCTAAATGATACATAACATCAGATATTAATTGATCGCCTTCGATATCAAAGAATCGCAAACCAATATTTGACATCTCCAACGGCACAGATGAATTTTGCGTAGTCTTAAGTTGATTTTCAACACGAACATCCATAACATCGCATTCAACAGACTTATCAACATAATATATACCACCAGTAGCCATATAATATTGATCTGGATTAGCCCATAAATTAGGAAAGTCAACAGGAAAGTAATATATATTCTGCACAGTATCGCTAGTACAATCAACATACCAATAAATAGATTGTTCGACACAAAATTCATCATAATAACCTTTATTGCAATCAAACCCTCTTTCGATAACGAAATCGGGTGACGCGCTGACTTCGTGATTCGGGGGTTGCTCTGCCATTAGTTACGTGATAACCTCTCTGCGACCAACCTTTTCTTCCTTTTGGATGAACGAATATTCTTCTGTGTGTCCGCACCATAGGCAGCTGCTACATCAAATGAATAATTCCCAAACAACTTCTCTAATATAGTCTGACTCTCCTTCATAACACTCCATGGCATTGCATATTTAGGTAATTCATCATAAAACTTAGGAAATTGATAAGGTTCAAAACTATATTTACGCAACTATTTAGCTATTTTGGCTTCTTTAATATAAGGAATCTCTTTAGGATCGTATATATCAACTTGTCCGGGTTTAAGTCTCATATAATCAGGTAAATCATCTTGTGGAACAGGCTGATAATCAGGATCATAATTCCAACCTTCAATACTTTCGGAAACAGTACTCATATCAGTTACATTACCAACTTTAGTTGAATTGGAATAAACAGAACTAGTATTAGATGTACTAGAACGAGACCAATCAGAATCAGAATACAACATATCTTCAAATATATTAGTAGGTCTAGTTTTACCCATTTCCTTTAAAGCTATATACTCAGTCTTACTCATATTATTCTTAGGCAACAAAGCCGATTTCAAAATCTTACGAACATTAGGCATATCCATATAAGGTACGGTCTCCTTAGCTAATCCGGCAACAGCTTTAATATTTTTAACAACATTAACAACAGTTTTAGGATTAATAGCACCAGTTAAACCAGTAACAACTAATTCACCAATACGAGCAGCTTCTTTGTTTTTAAAATTCTTTTCATTGACACCAAATATTTGATTATCCCAACCAGGGGCGACCTGTAACGACTTTTTAGGGTTAACTTTATTTTGTTTAAACTGAGCTTGATTCTTGTTGAACCCTTCCGGTATTTGAAAGTAATAATCGTCGCCCATCTGAAAATTGAACAGTTTCAGTGCACCCACATAAATTCCAAAAATCGCATGCAAATAGGTTATGATCAACACATTCATTATATAATGACTTACAAGCAGTACGGCCACACCAATCACAATGTGTAACCGATACCAACGCTAGCAACATCAAAAACATTTTAATATATAATTAAACCACGCCTTATATGCCTTTTATAATCGGATTACAAGGCAGCAATAATACGAAACATTTATAAATTCACTATCATCCCACCATCCTTCCAACCATATAACTATGAGATATTATGCCATTTTTATGTTAATATAAATCATCCCACCAACCACGTGGGATCCCACGTGGTTGGTGGGATGGTTTCTATTAACATAAAAAATTAGTTACAAATTTAAAAATGACATGAAACAAGTTTGCAATTGTTGGCATGTCATTTTTAAATTTGTAACTAATTTTGCTTTTTAATATTACCATTAATGTGACTTTTAAAATAATAAAATTTTTTATTTGTTTCAAAAAATACTGTTTTATTACTTACAATATAGTATGTTATTACAAGATACTTCTGGCTTTTACTCTGTTTCAAACTAGTTTAGTTATAACTTTTGTTCACAAATTTTATTAGACGCTATATACATAGTTTCATAGGTTTAAACTGATAAATAGCACTTTATTGTTTTTGTTCATTTTAGATTAGAATAGCAAAAAACTATTCAGATAAAGTTTTATCAAACATAAACAATTTCTCAATTATGTCAAGTAACTTAAGAGCTGAAAATAGAAGAAATCGTCGGAATGAGAGAAATGAGGCCAGACGAGAAGAAATTAATCGTTGCCATAATGAAAGGAATGAGGCTAGACGAGAAATTAATCGTCGCTAAAATGAAAGGAATGAGGCTAGGCGAGAAGAAATTATTCGTCGCCAAAATGAAAGTAATGAGACTAGACTTCAAGAAGTTAAACGTCGCTAAAATGAAAGGAATGAGGCTAGACGAGTATTACTTAGGCGTCCAATGCATTGCATAGCAAGAAATAATGTGTTTATATATACCTAGTATATACCTAGGAGTATATACCTAGGTATATACCTAGGAGTATATACCTAGGAGAAATAACCCATATTTGTCAGTATTGTGGTGCTAAAAATATTTTTAAATGAAACACATTTTTTGTGCTGCCATTCAGGAAAAGTTGTCTTACCTCCGCTTTCACCTTATCCACCGCTGATGGTTGATTAATGACAGGCAACCATGTTGATCGTGCTTTGAATCAAATTTTTTTAAAGCATATACGAAATTATAATGCCTGTTTATCTTTTGCTTCATTCATAGCCACAATAGATCCTCCGTCAAATCGTGGTTTACCCTGTTTTAGAATTAGTGGACAAATTATGCATCGTATTGATAATCTAAGACATTAGCAAGGTGATCCACCTGCTTATTGTCAAATATATGTTTAATACTGCTTTAAACTTTCGAACGGAGCAAAATGATTGTTGCATACGTGAGTTAATGGAACTTTTGCAGGTTATAATTAATCAGAAGAACCCATATGCACTTGCATTTAAAAACATGGCAGAAGTTGAAGATGCAGAAATTCGTCAAGCTGTTATAGAAGGTTGACCGATTTCTGTTGTCAAAAAGTCGTTGCTTGAGGGTTGTGATAGACGTCGATACAATCTTTCATCACATGAGGAGGTCGCCATTGTGTTTGTAGGAAATGATAGTGCTCCACCTCTACCTAGGGAAGTTGTTATTTATCATCGAGGTCAACCCTTAAAAACAATTTCAAATATGTCTGCAAATCTAGATCCAATGATCTGCAAATCTAGATCCAATATTATTTCCAAGAGGTGATGCAGGATTGCATGATCAACTAGAGCACAATCCTGACCAAGCATCACGTGTTAGAAATCGAGTTACTTTGTCTTAGAACTACAATTATAGGCTTTCTATTAGACAAACGTTTAGTCCCATGTTTTAAGGTAAGAAGCTTTTTTAACAGTATGCTGTTGATGCATATGTCAAGATTGAAGGACAGCGCCTTGCTTTTATCAGAAATAACCAAAACAAACTTAGAAGTGAACAATACAATACATTACATGAGTGTGTAAATAATGTTGCAAATAACCTTAATGTAAGACTGGGTCGTGTTGTTATACTACCATCCTCATATATTAGAAATCCAAGAGCTTTAAAAGAAAATTTTGAAGATGCAATTGCAATTATAAAGAAATATGGTAAACCAGATCTTTTTATTACTTTTACCTGTAATTCAAAATGGAGAGAAATTACAGAAAATTTAAATCCAGGTGAGAGCGCAACTGAAAGGCCTGATTTAGTTTGTCGCGTATTTAAGATGAAACTTAAATGCTTCTTAGGTGATATTTTTAAACATGGAGTCTTAGGCAAAGTTGTAAGTCATGTACAGGTTATTGAGTTTCAAAAACGTGGTTTGCGACATGTGCATATTTTATTACACTTTGTAAATGATGATAAGCTAGAAACAGCAGAGGATATAGATAGTTTAATATCAGCTAAAATTCCAGATCAAACTGTTGATCAAGAACTTTTTGAAATTGTAAAAAAACATGTATGATTCATGGACCATATGGGATTTTAAATCCCAATTCTCCTTGCATGAAAGATGGAGTTTGCACAAAAAAATTTCCTAAAAAGTATAATCCTCGCATTGTTGC